GCTGCCTCACCATGCTAGGATAGATCAACCCGCCCGTCGAGCTGCCAATCGACACGAACCCCAGCGCGAGTGCCCTCTTCTTGTCGAAATAGGTGGACGCCGTCGACAGGGCGGGACAGAAGAGCAAGCCGTTGCCGAGGCCTAGGCAGATACCCTGCGAGAGGAATAATTGCCAGTACTGCGAGCAGAAGGAGGTTGCGAACATGCCGAGGAACACGAAGAGGAAACCGGCGATGAACAGGTGGCGAAAGTAGCCTGCGTCTGTGAGGCGGCCGCTGAAGGTGCTGATGAAGAAGAGGAGGAAAACCTCGAAAGAGCCGATCCAGGCTATGTCTGACGGCGGGCGGCCGAGAAGAGTGGTGTAGTAGGATTGGAAGACGCCGAATGAGTTGACGATGCCCCTGCGATTTGTTAGTTTGGCTGGATGTACACAGCTTATGGCGGACTCACCAGGTATTCATAATGACCAGATGGGCGCTGAAGACTGGTGGAAGTTAGCCTCGTGAGCTTAGGGTTCATGGCACGCAGCAACTCACTCGCCATCCATGCGGTGACGCCCCCGTCAGGAGGCGGGCCTTGTACAATACTGGACCTGGACGTGGCCCGACTGAGCACCCGGCCCACGATCCCGCTGGCCTCGGCGCCGGCCCCGTGCCCAGCATCCGTGTCCGGGTCCGTGTCCTGCGCCACGATTCCCGGCGGGTCGTCGTCCGATGAAGACGACGGCAGCGCCTTTTCGTCGCTGTGTACGGCTTCCTTCATGCGAGCATTATCGTCGTCATGAGGGCGCGACTCCATCGTCTGCTGTGGCCCTGACTTTTCGACATCATAGGCGATGTGAGGAGGGGAAGAGCTCATGATTTCCCTTTTGCCCTATTCCGGAGAAGCGCGCCAATCGCAATGCCGAGACACGGGTATCGCTCCGATCTCGATAACTTAAGCGGCTTCTTGTACAAGCTTTCGCAATGTCGTCATGCTTCAGTTGCCGAATCCATAGAAGTCCTGCTAAGCAATCAATAGCCGACGCAAACAGAAGTGCTCAAGAAACATGAAGAATGAAGAGATCAGTAGGGGTGTCGTCGCAGAAGCAAAACTGTTTCAACGGCGCCAAAGCCTCAAGCGCGCCCACCCTAGGCCCTTAATACTTGGAAAGCGACGCTGTTTGCTCGAGTCATGGCGGCGCTGAAGCGACACTATCGATCACACCTAAATGACTACCCACCCCCGGCGCCGACCCCGGCCGCGGGCAAGCTGCATTCTGGCCGGGTGTTGGAGAACAAGGAAAGCAATCCACTTTGAAACACACGCAATCCGGGGGGCGGTAAAGTGGGTGGAGACGAGTTGACAAGCCCCTTTTGCAGCTGTCAAAGAGAATTGTCGAGTATCACTCCCTATTGTCCGTACGTATGGGTATGCGGTTTGCACTTGTTTGCGATTGTGAATGCGACTGCGACTGGAAATCATTGCCCGGGGGGCTCGGGGAGGCGTAGGCGAGCTGCTGAACATATCGAATAAAGACATCGGGACGTCAATCCGCCCGCTAGTGTGGGTAAGGTGGGATAAAATCGGCGAAACGGCCTGGCTGCTTTGGTGGCCCCATCGAGATCAACGCTTGTTACCGGCCGGTTCCGGCTCTGGCTGCTTGCTGATCGGAGCTGGACCGCTCTGAGGCATCTTCAACTTCGGAGATGGGCCCCAAACGAAACGTGATGGATAATGATTTATCGAGATTCTTGATGTGAGAGGCAGCAGGGAACAGGGCTGCTCTGTTGGCGAAATAGTTGATAGAGTGCGTGGATGGAAGAGAGAAGCTTCCTGGCCTGCCCTGTCCTGGAGGTGGAGGTGAAGGTGTGCCGTTGGCATCAGCCACAGCCCGGTGTACACGCGGACAAAATCCGGTGCCCAGCCACATTTGGCGACTTCGACTCTACGGCTTCACACGGAGAACTTACAACTCACCACAACATTCACCCCCCGATCTGGGAAAATAAGAGAGTCTAACTTCATATCGCCCAGATCTGACGTCAGGACCTTCGACATTTCTCCCCAATCGACCGCCTCTTCTTGACCACAACCCCGGTTCAATGAAGATGCAGACACTGTTAGTAAAAACGAGCTCGCGCTTAACACTATAGCATCTTTACCTATACTTTCACCACTGCCTCCACTTCTACTGCCATTCCTCTTCTAATCTTCCTTATCCTTGGTAGTTCATCCTCTATGTATTTCTGACAGAATATACACAAAGGCTCGGACGTTGAAGAATAGGTCAGGGTTAGAACATACCGTTCTATAAGTTACTCAAGGTACACGCTTCTAACCCATTTCGCTGACTCACACCAGGGTCGTGAACGCAACTCGACGCCTTAAGAACGCCAAGAGAGCCGAAATCACTAGCGATAACACACGGTTCCTCCCACAGATCGACCCCGACAATCTCCTTGACGTAGAGGGGTTTCCAGCCACTCTGGGCGACTTTTGGTCGATGGACGGTATGTAACATGTTTGACTCAGATGCCTAGTGCTCGGTACTAATACTATACAGAACGCGACATTCGCCAGCTCGCCACGAACCTTGGAATGGAGTCGGACAAGGTCGCATACCCCAAGCTCATGCACCAAGCGTTTGAGCGGATTGCCGGGCTCCTTACTGAAGTCATGACATAGACGACAACTCCCGCTCCTGGCGGTCGAGTAACCCCCCCCCCCCCCCCCCCCCCCCCCCCCCCCCCCCCACCCACCCTCCCCCGCCCCACCCACCCCCCAACCCCCCCCCCACGGTGTTTGGGGGGTGGCGGCGCCCCTTTCAGAAACCTGAGCCACACCCCCCCCCCCCCCCCCCGGCGGCCGGCCACCCCCCCCCCCCCCCCCCCCCGGCCCCTAAACAATTATATATTGTGCGCGGGCAAAGGAATGAACGAGCGTTTCTTTTTGGTCTTTTTCAGTTTTTTAGCCGAACAGAGTCGTGGGCTTTTGGCACCAATAAGAATTTAGTATGCTTGAAGATATAACTGCGCCACGACTTGTATGCTTGCGCATTCGATTCCGATAGTCATCACGATAAATCTGGAGAGTATTATGAAGATCAGAGAGAACCTTTAGCCCTGAGTTGGATTATCCTTTGGAAGACCGTGGAGCCGGCACGAACGGCCTCTGATAGCCTTGCATAAACCCCATCTTTCCCCTATCTCGTCCCCTTTTCCTCTTCCTCTCCAACCACCTCACTACCATCGCCTTGGCGTTTCTTTCTCTGCAAGCATTCTCAATCAAGATTACAAAATCAACCAGGGACGGCAGCATGAACAACCCCACCACATTTACCACGGGCCATGACCAGGATAACGCCATCCGCCTTCTCCGAGACGATCTAGCCAAGGCTTTTACCGACTTTACTAGCTAGGTATAGCGACAGTAGGCCATGATTAAAACGCTGTCTAATGAGGTCCGTTAGCTATGTTCTGGGGTGGGTTTCAATTATACCGTTATATAGGTTTGATAATATGACCAGGAGCCAGTTTTGAAATCTGATTCTAAAGTCTTTAGCCCATCTTCTCTTAAGTAGGTAATTTAGTCCTTCGCCGCTTTATGCTCTAGCTCTATTGTAACTCTTTCTATTATTAACCCTAGTCTTACTATATTTATTATTTTTACCCCTCCTGTTGTGCTTCGTTTTTTGTATATCCGTTAGCGAATATCCTTACGTAAAAGAAAACAGAGGATATTAAAATAATATTAATAAATCCTATGTTAATTTATTATCTAACTCTCTTATTAATTGCAAGTACTCTATAACTCACGGTACTACCTAAAGATTTAAAGGCATTTATAATAAACTACCGCGTTAAATAAGTTGATATTATAATATAAGAGAGGCTTTTAAGACTACTTGACTCCTAATATGTTACTCCTAATCTGTCACTCGCTAGATTGTTCTAGCGGCCTTGAAACTAACAAAGTAATGACGCGCATCTCGTTCGACGGCCATGAAGAAACTCACCGCAGAGGTAACTAAGTTCATTCTGGATGTGTTAGAAATGGATAGAGTAGATAGAACAGAATGACTTTCGCAAGTATCAATGTGCCTTCATACCCATGTGACGGTGGCGGGACGTGTATACCCAAACATCCAGTTCCTATCGACCCCTTAAGGGGTCCCCCGGGGCTTTCCCAGGCAATCCCTGTGTTCATCCCAGGAGTGCCATGTGAGCGGATGATTCCTCCACGTGACTGCACAGTGAGGGAGATGCGAGGTGGTGGCTGTAGCCTTGCCGCACCTTCCACACCTCACCTCACGTCTCCACAAGGCTGCCACCAACGAAGCCCTTATATACACTCTCAACATTGTTCCCGTCACCAGCCAGCAGGCGCCCGTCTAGGTCGATGGGTCAGGTCAAACTGGCTGGGTGGTGGAGTGGTTGATGGTCCGACATAATTATCAACGCCAACCAGCCTACTCGACGACAGGTTTAGCGCATACGAGTACCCGAGTTCGAATCCCAGCATGAGCACCAAGAGATGTAGCCCCCAGTTCAGCACCGGGGGGTGAACTCTTTTTGGGTCTCGTTGTTTCTAGGTTTCCCTAAGGTTGATCTTGCGGCCTTGAGCGTAACCTAGGTATAGACTCCCTTTCAGGACATGCAAAAGCTCGTCTGGCCGAAGACTGAAGATAAAAGGCAGGCTTTATGCTAACTATATCCTCGAGTCCCTTTTGAACTAGTTATAGAGGAGAAGAAATGGAAGGCGCCCTGTTCTAATTTCCGTCATCTAAAGGATCCGACTTCCCGGGGGGCAACTACCAGATCAAATTTGACGGGCTTCCCGACCGCAACCTCGTCGACGCCAAGCAGGAAGTTACCAGCCAGTGGGATATCGCCAAGCTCCGACGTGTTGGACGCGCGAACGTGGGTTTAGTGGTATACTGGACTCGCAAGGAGTTGCTGTCCTCTCTGGCCCCTGAAGCAGCCGACGCGCCTCGCCTCGCGGGTGAGCAGGGGAACAAGATGGATCATGAGTCCGCTGACAACTCCAGTCTCACGTACATCTGGCTTTCTATCGATGGCTGGAAGGGAATTCAGATGGCCTACTTGGCGTACCGGCAGCAGGGCCCTGTTGTGGGTGACATACACGTGTGTAAGTCGGCGTCATTCAGATTCCTCCCGATGGCAGACCTCGTACTGGTTTGAGTTCGCAGAGGCTGATAGCTAGCTGTTTTCTCAGTTTCTCGGTTTAACTTTACAGCCGCTGCATACTTGGCGATGCGAGAGGCGGTAAGGCTAAGGCGAAGGACGGAGACTTGTTTGAGTTTGAGATGCCGATCCTGGACAAAGGTCGCAACCCCGAGTGGACGTATGTTGTTTGCACATGCAAAAACCTCAAGCATTGGGCTGACGAGGGACATCCTGCGACTTTGTGCCCCGAGCCCTACACTCGCCCTGAGGGATAATGCAAGACAATTGTGGTATCTGGTGCGTGTTCAAGCTTGTCTGATCTGAATGTTGACCTTTTTTTGTTCTTTTTGCCCTGGAGACTCTGTTGACATAATCGTGGTTCAGGTGGAACCAAACACGGCAGGTGGTCTTCTAGGGTACCTGGCTGTCGTTGAATTTGGAAAGCACTCGCAGTGGTAAGCATTTGTCACGCCCCGCACGGCACGCCGGTGCAACTCCAACCTCACCTCACTTCACCTCACCTCACCTAACTTCACCTTACCTTGAACGACTACAAGCCCGACTTGTATCGCGAGACTTTCACTCAATCCACCGAAAGGTTCTGTCACAGTATTTTTCAACTTTTTCATTCCACATCCCGTCATTCCGGTCACCTGGAGGCCGATTTCCCGACCACCTCAGCCCCAGCATCTGCCAGGCAGACGAGGCCAATCAAGAGGCCGTTGGGCTGACTTCTCCTTGGCATGCCGTTTACCTTTGACGGTTGTCTTGGGACCCCAGCCCGCATCGCTCTCCTATTCGTCGCGGGAGCAGCCGCATACTTTGGCGTTGACGGCCTCCCGCTTCTTCGCTGCAGGGTGCCCACAACACCATTACCACTCTCCTATCAACACGCGATGCAAAGCTCGTCCAACGACGACTCGTAAGCCCTGCGACGGACAAGAACCACGAAACCCCCAGCATCATACGTCCGACATGGCCAATCAATTTTCTAGCCTCTGTTCGGTTGGTGCCTGGGCCCTTACGCAGAGAGCCTTCTTGAAACTGCTGCATGGTCCTTCCTTCTGCTGGAAATGCCATCCACGGCTTTGTCTAATTGATGAATGAGACTACGCAGAAGCTAGCTGAACCATGTCCTAGAGTCGGTCCCTCATAAAAACGAGGCTTCTCTCGCACCCGATAATGCCCCTTCTGCCGACCTGTCCTTCTGGATCACTTCAGCCCTTGGACACTCTGGAGCGAATGCTCGACACCAATCATAGCCAAATATCTCGACGGTAATCACTCTACCAAGCGCCTAAAGATGTGGAAAAATGGCAGGTGAGTCATGGCAATCGCCTCGATCTATTACTCGTCGTCTCGAAGCTAACGTCCATCGTGCGCTAGGAATCGCCCAGGACCGGCTTCGTCTACAAACGGCCCATGCTCCTATTACCTGAGGACTGGAACCTGTGGCTATGGCCCAAGGTGCAGATTCTCTCATGATACAGGCAACGAGCCCGGCCGTGGAGAACAAGGTCAGTGGCGAATTAGCAATCCGTCACCCGACGACTCACCAGCGAATGTCGGACGACTTGATGGCCGGATCGCCAATGCCCCGAGCCGAGCCCGTAACCCGGAGCGTGAGCGGCTGTTCCAGTGGAAACGACTTCGACCTCAGCCGAGACAGGTGTCGCTTCTCTGGGACGATACTACGTCGAACTTCTTCCGTACTGCTATCAGTCTGGTGGAACAAGATGTGAGCCTGGCGCAAGAGGTCGTCAAGGAGATGGCCGCTGATGGTCGGCTGCCGCTCGTCAGAGATGTCATTGAGGGAGCCGCTTCAGCTAGAACGCCCGAGGCCAAAGCTCTTCTCTGGGAATCGCGTATTTCGCCCCTGTTCCGAGTCTTGCTCCACCCGACTGTCGTAGACTCGGTGGTTCTCGAACAGGAAACGGCTGTGCTCTATCGATTGCTCTTGGGAGTTGACGCCACACGCCTGAAAACCCTCTTCAACTTTGTCTTCGATGTCGTTGATCATTGGTACGAGTTGCCTTTCGAAGACACGCCTGTTTCTGCCATGGAAGCACTTGCTCTATCGTGCGGCGTCTTGGCCAAGGTTATCAACACCAGCACCTTGAATATTGTCAATGCCCTCTTTCACCCCATTGTCGAAGGAATCAAGCTGCGATTAGATGTTTTCGGCAACAAAGATAGCGACTTCCATACCCTGCAAGCAACAAGGCATCTCGACTATGTTTACCGTCGCCTGGGTATCGGCCAAACTCTGGTCGACACTGTCCATATCTCGGCTTCTTCTGGTGCCGTGGCCGAATTCACTCTCAGCCAGGATTTGCCTGGAAAACTTTCCAAACGCCGCGAGCGCCACGACAATGACCACCAGGATATTTCGGATATCAAGCTCATGCCTACCCACCAAGAAATCATGTCTTCTCGAGATGAATACTTGCCGGTCGCCAACCCTGCACAGCACCACTTGCAAGGCCTGCGAGGTTTGCTAGATCGGCATTTCCGCCTGTTGCGCGAGGATACACTCCATGATTTACGAAGCGCCATTCGCACAACCGTGGAGTCAAATGCCAAGGTGCGAGATGTTCGGACACGAGTTGTTGCCTACGACAACGCCTTTGCTGTTGACATGACCTTCGACAGATGGTCAGGTCTTGAGTTCATTATCCAGATTGACCAACCCCGACCGACAAGAGGTTTAGACAAATTGCAACGCGGCACTTGGTGGGCAGGAAAGAAACTCATGGATGGAGCTCTTGTTTGTATTGTTGATGAAGTGGGTGGTATTTTCTTCTTCCAGGTCTCAAAGTCGACCATCAGAACTCCCAAAGATGAGACCCAGCAGGGTCAAGGAAACAACCAAGGGGAGGATAAGAGCGATGCACCGCGCTACAGTCTGCTAGACGATGAAAACCACGCATACGTACATCTACATGTCGTCGACACAGGAATCGACGAAATCAAGAGATCTCTCAGGTGGTTCAAGACCATGCAGATCGTCCGCCAGCATCGTCGTCTTCTCGAATTCCCGTCTATCCTACTGGCTTCTTTCACCCCTCCGTTGAAGGCATTGCAAAACATGTCAAAGACCCTGGATCTCCCTTTCCAAGACCTCCTAACGCTTCGTGCTGGGAGTCGAACAGCGGATAATCCTCCCCCACTCTACTCCAGGCGACCTGATTTCTCTTTCAATCTCAGCTGCCTGTCGACTGATGGCAGGGAACTTTCATACACTCCCGGCGATGCGATCAATCCATCGCGTCTAAGCAGGCACTCCAGTCTTGATAAGACTCAATCCGAGGCCATTCTCAATTCACTCAGAAGATCCTTCGCCCTGATTCAAGGTCCCCCGGGTACAGGGAAGAGCTATACCGGAGAAGCGCTCATCAAAGTCTTGCTTGCCAACAAATCGAAGGCAAAGCTGGGGCCCATCATGTGCGTTTGCTACACCAACCATGCTTTGGACCAGTTGTTGGAGCATCTTTTGGATGGTGGTGTCCAGAATATTATTCGCATTGGCTCCCGATCAAAGTCCGACAGGTTGGCTCCTGTAAATTTGAGAGCGGTGGCTCGAGACATGACCCGCACGGCTGCCGAAAGTCGGGCTCTTTACAAATCTGTCGAGACTGTGGACGGCGACACAGAACAGATTCGCGGTACGCTTTCGGATTTCATCTTCAGCAGAGACAACGAAAAGATTCGTCTTCACCTTGCCCAACACTATCCTGCCCAACACGAAGAGCTGATGGGGCCAACCTTGCCCAACTTTGATGATGAAAAAGAGAGATGGCAGACTGTAGACTACTCACGCGGCAATGTATTCAAGAAGTGGCTCGCTGGCGGCGCGCCTACCAATACGACGCGCCCACTTCGGCGCTTGCGCCAATTGAAGCTAGCCGACCTCTACCATCAGGAACGTATCCTGCTCTACCAAGAATGGCTTGATGAAGTGTTGAGAGGAGAGATTGATTCGCTGTCGAACATGCACAAGGTTTACCAGGAACACAAAGAGAACAACAACAAAATCAGGAGCTCCATTGATCTGCGTTGTCTTCAAGAAGCGAACATCATTGGTGTTACAACCACCGGTCTCGCCACCAATCTTGACCTTCTTCGACGGGTGCACGGCAAGGTTCTTGTGTGCGAGGAAGCGGGCGAAGTTTTGGAAGCCCATCTTTTGACCGCGCTCCTGCCGACTGTTGAGCACGCCATTCTGATCGGGGACCATCTTCAGCTACGCCCTCAGATACAAGACTGGAGACTCCAGCGGGCAAACCCGGCTGGCGTCAAATACTCCCTAGATGTATCGCTCTTCGAGAGACTTGTCCAACCACCTCCAAACGTACCGAGCATCCCGTTCAGTGTCCTCGATACGCAACGTCGGATGCACCCATCGATAGCGGAACTAGTACGATCAACATTGTACCCATCTTTGTCAGACTCTGAAAACGTGCAAGACTACCCCGAGATCCCAGGCCTGGCTCGGAGGCTGTTCTGGCTTCACCACGAAAGCCCAGAATCGGGGGGAAAGTCTGATCAGGACTCTGTTGAGACGTCATACTCCAACAATTTTGAGATTGAGCTTGTCTCGGCGCTTGTATCCCATCTGTTAAGGCAGGGTGTATACAAATCTGGGGAAATTGCCGTCTTGACACCTTATCTAGGACAACTGAACAAGCTACGACAGAAGCTCAGCTCCGTCATGCAGATCGTCATCAACGACCGGGATATGGACGATCTTGCTGAGATGGAACCTGCTTCTGCTGCCCAAGGCAGCTTCACGAACGTGGGACAAGCCGCGAAAACAAATGCTCTGAGCGGTGTTCGAGCCGCAACGGTCGACAATTTTCAAGGCGAGGAGGCCAACGTTGTCATTATCTCACTTGTCCGCAGCAACAACGACAACAGGTGTGGATTCCTCAGTACTTCCAATCGCATCAATGTTCTGCTGTCTCGGGCTAAGCACGGCATGTACATCATTGGCAATTCACATACCTCGAGCCATGTCCCGATGTGGGCGCAAGTCACGGAAATCCTTCAGAACGGTGGCAACTTCGGCAACAGGTTGGAACTACAATGCCCGCGACACCTTCAGAACAAGAGCTTTGTGTCACAGCCCGAAGATTTCCTTCGATTTTCTCCGGATGGTGGGTGCAAACTCCGGTGTGACCGTCGGCTCGCATGCGGCCACGCCTGTACTGGCCCTTGCCACTCCGACCACCTCCACAACGCCATCAAATGTCTCGAGGACTGTGCCAGGCCGCAGGTGAATTGCGACCACCCATGCCGCCGACGCTGCGGAGAGCCTTGCGACAAGCTTTGCACAGAGGTGCTGCGCGGCGTCGGCCTGAAGCTCCCTTGCGGTCACACTCTTGACACGGTCGCTTGCTGGAAAGCTCAAGACCCGTCTTTAATCCAGTGTGTCGTGCAAGTCGACAAAGTAGTGCCGGGATGTGCTCACGCTGTCAAGGTGTCCTGCCATGTAAACGTTACCAGGGACAGCTATCCTTGCAGGAGCGAGTGTGGCTTTCGGCGGCCTTGCGGTCACGCATGTAAGTCGCTATGCTCGGCATGTCGCGTTAGAAAAGATGGTAAGGTGGTCGAGGAGGATCACAAAGCTTGTCGACAGACCTGTGGTAGATCCTACACATCCTGCAGCCACTCTTGTCGAGCAGCTTGCCATAGCGATGAGGTTTGCCCTCCGTGTCCATCTCCATGCCAAAACCAATGCGCGCACTCAAAGTGTGGCAAGAAATGCCACGAGCCTTGCGCGCCATGCGCAGAGGAGGCGTGTCCATCCTCGTGCCCACATTCAAAGTGCACTATGCCGTGAGTACATGCCACGTTGTGATTATGGAACTTTTCAATGTTTGCTGACTTGCGATGATAGTTGCGCCGCTCCTTGCGATTGGATTCCCTGCACCAAGCGGTGTACCGAGGTATTGAAGTGCGGACATCAATGTAAGTTATTTTTCTTCTGGTCAAGTGAGAACGTGTTGACAGTGCCAAGGCCCCTCTGTCTGCGGTGAACGTTGTCCAGTCGAGAAGTATTGCCAGACATGCGCCGCGGATGACATCAAGAATAGGGTGGTCGATCTCATCCTCATGGATGACTACGGTTCAGTGGACCTGGACGAGGAGCCCTGCATCTTCCCAGACTGCGGCCACTTCTACACTTACACGACCATGGACGGACAGATGGGTCTCCGGGATCTTTACGAGGTCTCGCCTGAAGGAGTGCCGACGGCCGTCAAATCGGGGTCCCACCCATTCTCGGTGACTAACATCAAAGTGTGCCCCGACTGCCGAGGGTCTCTAAGAAACATATCCAGATATGGGAGAATCGTTCGACGTGGTCTTCTTGATGAGTCGACGAGGAAGTTCATCAGCTGGGCCCACAGCGTCAAGCAGAAGTTGACAGACGCGTTTTTCGCTGCACAAGACAACCTGCAGAAGATGGAGAAGAATAAATTCAGCTTTCCTAGCACGCAGTTGGGGTTTCCCATGCCCCAGTCGGCATTTGCTCTCAGAGGATCTCGGCAGCAACAAATGACCCATCTCTTCAAGCTCACTGGAAATACCAGGCACGCGGTACTCAAGACGCTCCGAAATCAGATCGCCAATTTTCTCGGGTCAGTAAGGAAAGAAGAGCAGCCGTATCAGCGCGTGGCACACTTGGTCTGGCACGTAAACAAGCGGCGGCAAACCAGCGACTACTCATTTGACGAGTCGGCAATCCAAATGGGTGGAATGCTGGACGCCATGACGCTCTCGCTACGGTGTGATCTTCTCCTGGTCTCTGACTATATCAGTCTATGCCGCAACATGACCGACAACGACAGCGACGGTGCCAAGTCCGCCAGCATTGATCCCATGCCATACATCAAGGACTGCCAGCGACTGATTGAGACTGCACGAATGAGAAATTATTCCCGGCTGCAAGTTGAAGGCCACATCTGCCTCGCCATGTTTTGTTACTTTGCACCGCCTGACGATGCTAAGCCGACGACTGACGCACCAGAGGCACCTAAAGCAGAAAACTCATCCACGAAAGAAAGTATGATCAAGCTCGGCGAGGACCACCTTTTGAAAGCTGAGAAGATCATCAAAGCAAATCCGTCCGCAGCCACGATGGCCTCCGAAGTCGAGACCGCGAGGCGCATGCTCCACGACGGAGTCTTCTACAGCGAAGTTTCCACTGACGAAATGCGAGCCGTCTACGCAGCCATGAGCAAGGAGTTCTCGGGAACAGGGCACTGGTACACATGCCGCAACGGACACCCCTTCACTATTGGAGAGTGTGGTATGGCGATGCAGCAGACGGTGTGCCCGGAGTGCAACGCTCCGATCGGCGGCCGGGATCACTCTTCGGCGGAAGGCGTGAGGCATGCGGTGGAGATTGACGCACTTGCGCGCGGCATCGGAACAATGGGATTCTGAAGTAAAGTAAATTCATGGAAAAAAGTGTCCTGTGTAAAGGCTTTCACTTGCTGATTGTCTTGCTCCATGGACGCCCGTGATGATGGTCCTTCTTACAATAGACTGTCACACTGGTGATCTTGCTGTGTTGTCCGTCAGCCTACACTTTAGTTTCCGGATCTGTTGTGCATTCTTAGTCCTCATTTTCTATGAATAAATATTCAATCGCTGCCTTACTTGCCTCTAAGCACAGCCTCAAGACATCCTTAGACTTTGTCGTTTGTGAGAACCTACAGTGACGTCGCCCTATCAATTACGGGAATGGCGTTGCAAGTGCTCCGTCACGTTGCACATCACCACTCCAAGTTCACACGTTGTAGCATGCAGGCAGTCTTCGCTGCATATTAGCCAATACAAGAAAAGCGAGATGAGACTGTAACAATGGTTGAGACCTCCAAAAATCATTCATGTAGAATACTAGCAATAGCATACATAGGTGTAGGTGGTCCTTTCTCCCATGGTCATCTCAGCACACATCCCGACTCGCAATGAGCCGCCCAAGAAATTCGGATCAAATCGTGTGGCAACACAATAGTTCTCAATCCACCATTGTTGCAATCATTCTTGTAATCATCATGTGTCCCTATAAACTCAACCCCGGTTGATTCTGGACGAAGACAGGACCCTCAGGCCTGAGCTGGTCCAGTAGAAGAAAGGACCTGCGTGGAGCTGGATGTTTTCAGGCTGGAACTGCTGTCGGCAATTGGCGGTCGCGCAATCATTCTTGCTCCAGCCGACGCGGATGTCATCAGACCACCAAACCTGAGGCTTACCATCGACTTGCAGAGTGATCAGGATGGAGCTGAGATCGGTGAAATCGACAGCTGAGAAAGGCGTAAGTGGGCAGCCGGAAGGCTGGTCGCAAGCGTTGACCCAAGCTTTCTGGCTGACAGCTTCTGTCTCGGTGGCGTTGGTCGCATCCCATCTGTATCCAGTGAAAGTGAAGACACAAAGCTGGTTGGGAACCGCAGAGTCGGAGTGGCAACCTAGGTTCATGCCGAAGAAGTCAAATTGGAAGCAAGGAGAAGACGCCAGCTTTCCCATGCCGATCTGCGCAGTGTCGCCGGAGACGTCATCTGAAGAGGTGTTTGACAGAATTGGGGGCACAAACTCCACGAGACGACCGCCAGAGGAGGGCAGGAAGGGCATCAGCGGAGGAGGACCAACAAGGAAGCCCTTGGAGAACCAGAACCGGTGGTAAGGGTTGAAAAGCGGGCCAGACGAGACGTCATCAAACTGCGCGGGTAAGAATCAGCAGATGAGTGAGATTTTGAGTCAGCGGTAGCGGAGCGACTTACATCGAGAACCTGATTGCCAACCTCTGTGGTGCCGGTACAGATGGGTGTCGCAACAGGTGTCAGTGTGGGTGTGCTGGATGTTGCAGTTGTGTTGACATAACGCCTCTGAACCCCGCCAGGCTGAACAAGAGAGGTGAAGACTCCAGTGGTGAAAACTTGTACCACAGAGCTCTGAACGACGACACTCTGCCAAGTAGACACTGAAGGAATGACGGCAGGAGAGACGGTGACAGCGGGGGCTTCGGCCGTGGATGCGGTTACGGCAGGGCCACCGACCGTGGAGACACCAGCAATGGTAGAGACTCCAAGAATGGTGGAAACGCCAATGATGGTAGAGACAACGGGAGAGCCAGTAGCACCGCCAGTGACAACGCCACCAGTGACAGCGCCGCCAGTGACAGCTACGTCCGAGGCAGATGCGACAATTGTATCGACCTTTGTGACAAGAGACTCGTAAGGGAACGTGTACGTGGTGGTCTCATCGGCGACGACGTTGATGAAACTGGTAGTGAGCACAGTCGTGGACGTGGTGGACTCGGAGCTGGTGCATGAAGTCGAGGTTGCAGCGCCAGGAAGAGCATTGTCAACCGTCGATGGCGCCGGCCAGAGAGTGATGACAGTAGGCGAGTTCTGGGAGCCGACAGCAGCAGTTGCAGGGTCGACAGGGACAGAGTAGCTACCAATGACTGAAGTTGGCGCGCCAGCAACAGTGGTTGGGACGCCTCCATTAGGAGCTCCTTGAGCAACAGTGACAGTGATCTGTGGTCCAGGCAGACCGCCAAAGGGGGGGACGCCAGTCTCAGCCGGATCAGTGTAGCCGCCGGGAAGGCCATTCGTATCTGTCGGGAAAACACCGCCTGCGGGAATCGTGAGTGTAATGGGGATCCCACCACCAGGAAGACCGTTGGTGTCCGTAGGGCTAACACCACCTGCGGGAACTGTGATTGTGACTGGAATGCCAGGAGCACCAGAGCCAGGAGCACCAGAGCCAGGAGCACCAGCGCCAGGAGTCCCGGAGCCAGGAACACCAGAGCCAGGAGTGCCAGAGCCAGGAGTGCCGGAGCCAGGAGTGCCGGAGCCAGGAGTGCCTGAGCCGGGAGTGCCTGAGCCGGGAACACTAGTCGAAGGATTTCCAGGTGCACCAGGGATTACAGGGTCACTGTAGCCGCCGGGGATTGTAGGAGGAGTGGTATCTCCGGGGGTTGTAGGAGGCGTTGGCAACGTCAGGACAATCGTAGCAGTGGAAACAGAGACAGAGCTGGGGCCAGTAGAACCATCATCTCCCGGGATGCTTGGAAGAATCGTGGTGTAAGTTGAGGCACCCCCGGCAGGAGACTGAGGAACTGTCAAGGTGAACACGACAATGTTGCCCGGGTCCGAAGAATCAGTAGGTTGGTTTCCATTGCCAATGGTTGGCTGAGAAGCGTACAGAGTTGTGGTGACAACAGTGGAAGGTCCTCCGGCTGAACCGCCCGCAGGATTGGCAGGGACAACCACAGTGGTGGCGCCAGCTGGGCTAGCAGGAACATAGACAGTTGTGACACCTGAGCCTCCTGTTGAGGGAGAACCGGGAGTGGGAACTGTGTAAGTCGATACAACGGTTTGGATGGAGTAGCTCAAGGAACCATCTGGACCAGGAACCATGGTGGGAACGTAGCGAGTCGTGGTACCAACAGAGCCGCCGCTGCCAGGGCTTCCAGGAGCGGGGGTTGAAGCTGCAGGGACTCCAGGGACTGGTCCAGTGCCGATTGCAGAAGGGAAAGTGACAGTGAAGCAGGTGACAAGTGTGTCGACGACAGGCGTTCCTTGACCAGAGTCAGGACGAGTCCGGTAGAGGGTGGTAGTGAAGTCTGTGACAGAGCCCCCATTGCCGTTGTCGGGGCCAGAAGGAGTGTTGGTGACGGCAGGCCCAGTGGCAGCCGGTGCAGTCAGGGTGTAAGTGAACAGCTCGCCAGACGCAGGATCGACAGCACCGTCCGTTACAGCAGAGCCAGGAACCGACCCAGTTTCGGCAGGCTGTGGGAATGTGACTGTGAAGGTTGCAACAACCGAGTCCGCGGCGGGTGTAGCTTGACCTGGATTGGTGTCTGTCCTGTACAGCGTCGTGGTGATCACAGTGACACCCGCGGTGTTGCTGCCAGAGCCATTGGGGTCACCAGTAGCAAACGGGCAGTCGGTAGTGGCAGATTGAGAAGGGTTCCAAGGAAAGCCAGGAGGGCCAGGAAGCGTAACGGTTGTCGTTCCTTGGCCACCGGGGCCGGAGTTACCAGGGGATGCGGGAGAACCAGGGAAACCAGGGGAACCACCATTGGGGTCGCCAGAACCCGGGGAGTAGACAGTGGCAGTGACAACAGTGACAGGAGCGCCTGTAGCAGGGGAAGACTCCCAAGGCTTGGGCCCGGTGAACTGAGATCCTCCAGGAGGGGGATCGTAGCTGTCAATGGTGACAGTGAGAGTGGCCGGAAGACCGGGGGAACCAGACTGGGCAGGAGACCAAGGGGAAGGGGCAGGGAACGGAACGGTTGCAGTGACAGTCTGAACGGCAATCGAGGGACCAGGGTCGTTGTTGGAGTCAACCGTGATGAAGACCGTGGTGGTCGCCGCCGCGGGACATGTTGGCTGGGCATAAGTGCCAGCACTGAGATGTATTGTCAGCTTCAAACTCGAATGGGACTGGAGAGCAAGAAAAAACTTACACCATGGCCGCCATGGCAAAGAGGGAAGCCCGCATCTTGGGCAATCGGACGTGCCGGATCTAGGTGTAGGAGAACACGTAGAATACGTAGGGTACGCTGATTGGATTGAATACGCAAAGAACGACGCAAACAAGACAGACAATGACAACGCAGAGGGAAAAGGATTGGGGCGAAAGAGATGAGAGAGAGGATGAAGAGGAGAGGAAGAAGAGAGCAGAAATGGGGGGTCTTTGGGGGATTAAGTAGGACGGGGAAGAACAGGAGAGAATTCTGTAGAGCTGGATCGTGGGAAGGAAGTCATCGTCCTCTCTTTCCTCCTTTTAAGGTCCTGGAACCAGCTGTGGCCGATGACGCAACCCAACGTACGATGTACTTTGCAACAGAGGAAGGAAGGTGTCGGTAGCATCGCGAAGAGTAATACTTGTCTTGCTTCACTGAGAAAGCCCCGGTTTCATGCGGTCAACATCAAAACGTGCTCTCCAAACAACCGCTTGCTCTCCTATCATATATTCAAAGAGTATACGAGAAAATGTAGCCCAGCATAAGTCCTCGTGGACCCAACCGTTGCTCTGGTATGCGCACCTTCGAGTGCTCCCAGTTCCGAGGCACTGGGCTGGCTCCTTCCTGATGTTCTTCCCGGGACTTAGGCATTGTACCTTGAAGTCCAGTACGTACTCGGTCACCCATATGACATGTTGCCATGAGATTCTAGAAGGGAGAAAAGAAGGAGGTTAGGTGGGTAGGAGGCAGGAGCACGAGGCCGTTCGGCTGCCTACCTTCCTTCGACGCGGTATCTTGCGGTACAGCAACTTGGGCGAGAGAGCACCTTCCACGTCAGGCCACGAGACGGGAAGTATGGGTGGCAGATGATCACGCCATCATTTCACGGCAAGCTGGGGCCAAGGGAAGGTACGTTGGGTGCAAAATGTAAGCAGAAAGGGCTCAAGAAATTACTTCCCAGGGCATAAAGAAAGAGTGTACGAGCTAATGGTGGTGCTCATGTCTGGCGTGATGGAGGCATGCCGGTACGATAATAGATCCGAGGACTTTTTAAGCGAATTAACGTATTCACTTGCCGACCTGCTTACTTGCTCGATCGATCCCAAAATATATTCTGGTGCTCCAAATCCTTCTAACCATGTTCCTAGACCGGATCATCCTCGTAGGGGGGCGGGGGCGGCAGGGGCTCTCCGATGAGAGCGTCCACGGCTCGCTTCTTCTTCTCATCTTCAATCCGTGCCGCCCAGAGTCCAGCCCCAGCCGAAGTAGTCAACAAAAAGAAGAAAGACAGTACAGGGATCAGCTCCAAAATCATGGCGACCGTGCCAAACCATACGTATTCCCACGTCCTCGCCCGAATTTCGTTCTTGGCTTCCTTCTTGCTCAACCCTCGCAAGTGAAACCATCTGTAGTGCGCCAGCTTGCCCAGTCTCGTACCCGTGATGATGATGAAAGCAGGGGTGCCAACAACCGGGACAAAGTTGAGGGGCAAGAAGACTATCAGCTCGATGATCTGGATTATAGACCATGGGGTGAAGGCGGCAGGGGTCGTCGGCTTGCCGAGCATCTTGACCGCGGTGGGAGCATCGGGGAAGAGGATCCGGTGGGGAGCCACGAGGTCTGTTTGCGACTCTTTGATCAGGGTGGCCTTGGGGGAACGATTAGTACCATAAAACCGAAGAAAACACCAAAGATCAAAGACTACGACAGATTCAACTCACATCAAAGACATCTACTCGACACTCATCGACGAAGAATCCCTCAAAGAGACCCTGGATCACCACGAGACCCTCTCCGAGCACAAGGACTACCGCATTGACCCAGGCGCCCCATCCGTGGAAGATGGCCAGAAGTGCAAACTGTGGGAGGAAGGCAAATGTAAAGAGGATGAAGTAAACGAGAAATGATATGATGGATAGTGGTAGGAGGCGGCTAAGGAATAGCGGGTAGAATTCCTTGTTCCGCAAAAAGTACCAGATGCCGCGGATGGGAAACCAGGCCGCGATGCTGGCACGCTTCAGGTACCCCACCGGACGCTCGACAGGGCGTAGGAGAAGGTCGGCGCGGGATGACCACGCGGAGCGCTGCGACTCGGACATTTGTGCGATATACGGTCTTCGCTGCCCGTCGTGCTTGCGAAGATGGGAGACAACGGCAGTCAGAGTGGAAGTCGTCACGGTCGTCGGTTTTGAGTTGAGAATGGTGTGCCCGCGATGCGACGATAACGGTGACTTTTGGCGGAGGATTGCGTTGGTGGTTGCCTCCTTCCTCTGTACGTCATTTTGAGTGACAGCGTCTTATTGGACGAATCAAACTGAGTATCCACGTAGAAGCGGGTACCTCGCTGTGCAGGGAAGTGGGGTTAGAGTCGGATCTTCCTGCCTAATACATAATATTCCGTAGGTATCCGTACCTACCCCGCGGAAAGAGCTACGAAAGCTTGAAATGCTAGGCAGGTGGCCGGCAGGCACCTTCACCGAGGGTGGTACGTGCGCCATACAGCGAGTTGAGTCGCTCTCACCGTGGCGGCGTGCTCTTGAACGAGAATATCAATTGGATCACAGCAAACGCAGTGCGCCAACGAGGTTAAATACCAAGCAAAATTTTCTCCATATGTTTCAAAGAATCCATGTCCTCCCTTGCAGCATCAAGGCTCACATATTCGACAAACCAGCCAACAGGCGGGTCAGTCCATCCAAACCATCCAATTAGCAGTGCGTGGTCACAGACTGATGTTGTTGGAAGTTAGCTCCAACAGTATGAGAATGCCACCGCTTGCATGCCAAGGACCCTTGTCGAGCTGGCCGACCGGCTTAATCTGCCATCATCTTGTGCCAGAAACCACAACTCCGGCCTTCTAACTCCGGATTTCGCCCCTTGACCAGTCAACACGCTCGCGTATACGCCAACGTGGTTACACCAGACGTGCATGCCGTCAGACGGTTCACCTTCTTCTGGAAATGTTCCGGTCCCGAGGGAATGGGATACCTACACAGTTTAAATAGACGTGTGACCCTCGAGTTCACCCGGGACATCGTTATATAAAGACCATCCGCCCCCCCTCCACGATCCAGATATTCTGGCGACCTTGACTTGGTTCCATAAACTTGATATCGACCAGAACCAGCTTGTTTCAACATGATGTGCAGTACCTAGGTTTCTGTCTGCTATTTCCAATTTTCAAGGTGGCTTTAGCGACGTTGTTTGCTCCTCGAAAATTTGAGGAATAGCAAGCCTCAAGTTGTGCTTGCGATCTGGAGGATGGAACGGCAATTTTGCCAAGGCCTATTGTGGCCTCTTTCGCCATGATTTGGCAAGTCGTCGACAGACCAGGGCTTGTGTTTGTATCCATTATGCATGGCAGATGGATTTGTCGCTAATTAAATGTTAGTTGCTTCTGGGCCTTTGCATCGTCTCCATCGAGCCTGACAGCGAACGCCGTATGGCCAGGCCTGCTTACGTTAACATGACAGGACCCCAGCGTGCATGTCCATTGGGGAGTCGTCGTTGGCGGCAATCGCCTGGAAACGTGATTGATCAAAAGATCACTTTCGTCAATGAACCAGTCGACTTTTTCCGCCTTACGCCCAGCCGAGTTTGGTTTTTGGAAGATTTGATGCCGAATTCCACTTTCGCAGTCGTAAGCCACAGGAAAACGAGTCAGCTACACCAAGCTCGGATGTCGAAAGGATCCAATTTACGGATACCCTCCAATGGCTACCGAGGCGACGGGCGCTGACCCGACCGATTACGAGGGTTCCAAGAAGCGCAGCCGTGTCAGGTACTCTTGCACCATATGTCGCGAGAAGAAGTGAGTTTGCCCATGGGCGGCCTGAACAGCCTTGGACTGCATCTGACAGCCTCGCGTGTTTCTCAGGCGCAAGTGCAACCGCGGAGATCCTTGCGACCAGTGCGAGAAGCGGGGCCTTGCGAGCTCCTGCGTGATCGTGCCATATCTGATCAGAGGAGGGCCTGGTGCGAGCTCTGAACATGCCGCCCTCCGCCATCAGACACCGCAGTCTGCCGAAATGGCGGCTTTGCAAGCCAAGCTGCACCGTCTGACCGAGGAGCTGGGCCAAATGCGGAGTCGAGAGGTCGAGATGTCTCGAAACCCGATCTCGGAATCTAGCGCGTCTAGCGTCAGCGCCAAACAATCTTCCAGCGGGACTGAAACCCCCAGCCTGATGGGAATCACGGAGCCGACGACTGCGGGCCCGATGGTGGACAGGGTGCGGTATGTGGATGCTGCCAACTGGGAAGCTATTCTCGACGACGTGAGTTTAGAAAAGCATTGAGGAGCTAAGCCATGATTGTACTGATTTCTCCCAAGATCACCAGGCTCACTACGCATTTCAAAACCAAGAAATATGTAGTATGTGACGCCGAAGAGCCTGAAGACATACCCGCCAGCAGTGCTGCCTCGAAACCTACCGTGCCGTTTCTTCTTTCAGGGGCATTCCCAACGGCCAACATGACTACTCTCATGGCACTGCTGCCGCCAAGGAATATCACGACTAGGTTGATTGAACGATTTTTTGAGGGAAAAGAACCTGCTTGGTGTATGTCTTCAGAGTTCAACTGTATACGTATTTTACTGACTCGGCATCCCCCGCATAGGTATGTTCCATGTGCCTACTTTCTGGAAAGAGGTAAGGGTTGACCGATCACACTCAACTATTGCGTAGACGCTCACGTATTCTAGTTTCATGAATTTTGGGAAGACCAAAGTCGATTCTCCTTAACTTGGCTTGCACTCTTATTCGCCATGATCAACCATGCTGCCTTCTTCTGTCTGAGGGCAGACGAAGCAGTCCCTGGCGACTTGGGGCCTGCAACTTACGTTGCCGACATTTTCCGCAGTCACTGTGCGCGGTGTCTAGCCCTAGACAACTACACGACCCCTGGGAAGTACAAGGTCGAAACGATGATGCTGTACTTTGGATCAGAGTATCTCCGACTAGCCGATGCACAGCAGAGCACGGTATGCCATGAAGGTCTCCGCTCAAAGGACGAATTCCCGCAGAACTGACGCGAAATAGGCAATCCTCATGTCCATCATCGTTCGCTTGGCAATGCATTCAGGAATGCATAGAGACCCAAGCCATTTCAAGGGCATGTCGGTCTTTGAAGGCGAGATGCGCAAGCGCCTCTGGACAATCGTAATCGAAATCGACGTGCTCATAGCCTTCCAATTCGGACTTCCCTCTAACGTGCAGTCTCAATACTTCGACACAGGTTTGATTTTTCTTCCCTATGTGGTTTCTGAAATCTAATGTACGTAGGTCTACCTCGCAACCTCCACGATAGGGATTTCGACGAGACTACAGTCAAGCTACCCCCTGAGCGTCCGATGACCGAGGTCGAGCGGACGCCAGTGATGTACACGATTGTGAAATCCAGACTTGTGGTGGTATTTAGCGATATTGTCTCGCGCATGGCAAGTCGCAGCAGTCCCGACTACGGAGAAGTCCTACGGCTGGATGAGCGGCTGGAAAGGGCCCATGAAGAAATCCCTCCCGTCTTGCGAGATCGATCATTCACTCTCTCCGTCGAAGACACTGTCGATTTGATCATGCAACGACTCTGGATAGAGCTCATGTACCTGAAAGCCCGCATCGTCCTCCACCGCCGGTACTTCACGCTTGGACGCAAGGATATCCGATTCGCGCACTCCAGATTCGCCTGCATCAATGCGGCTACCAAAATTTTGGAAATTCAGTTCAACGTCAACGAGGAGTATAAGCCTGGAGGTCGTCTATCACGCGAGCGCTGGTTCGTCTCCAGCCTGAGCACTCACGACTTTCTCCTTGCGGATATGATGCTCTGCCTGGAGTTGTCTCACCTTCTACGCCCCGAAGGTCGCAACACGACTGGGATACACATTGACAAGGAGCCTCTCCTTTCCATTCTTCAGGCGTCTAGAGATATTTGGAAGTCCAACCGGAAAGATTCCAGTGAAGCCGTTAGGGCTTTCAAGATCTTGTCTCGTATGCTTAGCTTGTCGACTGGAGACCATTACGAGAGCACTCCAGAGACCGTTAGCTCGGACGGAGTGCTTGGTTCCGACATGGGACTGCGCCCGTCTTATCAACTCGCATGCAGTGGGTGCCCCCATGGACATCGTCTTCACGTACCCCTCAGCTAACCCTGAACCCGCATAGATCCCGTTATACCTGGGTACATGCCTCAGCAACCCGTGGAACCTGCATGGATGGAACAAGACGGACCTGCTCGGTGGGGATTCATGCCCACCGCGAGTTCGTCAGAGTCCATCCCCATTCCTATGACGGGAGTGGACACGGCCATGACCTTGGACTGGGTTCGTTCAATTTGTGGAAGACGACGTACGTGAATGGTGCTAACAATTCTTGCAGAGTGTCTGGGATACCAAGGTCCAAGATCCAAACGTCGACACAATCGATTTGCCCTGGCTGAAGAGCTTCACAGACTCTCTCAACGGGTAGGAAGTACACGAGGTAAGGTGGGATCCTGCTCAACCAGGTTGAATGGGTGATTGTGCCACCGCTATGGTGTTATCGCCAACCCCAAACCCGACACAGGGGACGCTGCGTAATATATATTAGACGATGTACGAGAAATGAATTTAACGCAGAAATTTGATTCGAGATTTCGTCGGGTTACTAGGTCTTAGGTTGTTCAGATCGAAGGTTTGTATCCAATTAGCTGTATGCATTAATACCTGATCATATTCAAGGTATCACTACCACTCTCATCCCGACCATCCATCATCACCACCGCCCACCTCACGTCAACGCAACACCCGACGCCGCAAACGTGGCATAAAACAGCTTCGTCTGTCCCGTGATCACCATCCTCCCGTCGCCGGCGAATTGGAAATTTGCCGCCGTGGTGCCGGTGTAGATCTTGCCGATGAGCTTGCCGGACGGGTTCCAGACGTGGACGCCGTCGTTGCAGCCTGCGTAGACGTTGCCTTTGGAGTCGCAGTGGACGCCGTCCGGGAGGCGGGCGGACGTGTGGGCGAAGATTTTGCGGTTTTCGAATGTGCCGTCTTCTTTTACTTCGAAGCGGTAGCTGTGGTGGGTGTTAGATGGCGTTTAATGCTTGGGAAGGGGGGGTGTGGTGAGGGTTCGAGAAGAGAGGAGGTGAGGAGCGGAAGAAGAGAGAGAGGGAAAACCTGAAAAGATGTGGGCGTACACTGTGGCTGGCTTTGTAAAGTTTGTGCCGAACTGGCCTTGGGAAATACCCGTGTCTGTTACGTAGGCGTAGGTGCCGTCCGGAGAGAGGGTGATGCCTGGCGTATCACAAGTCAGCCTTTTCGCAACTCAACATTTCATCTAGGCCGAGAAACTCCGGCAGGAAAACCGGAAACGTACCGTTAGGCGACACGAACTCGTCGGTGACAACGGTCAAGGCTCCGGTGGTGGGATTGAGGCGGTACACCTGGTTCGGGAGGCCCGGGGCGGGACGGAAGTTTTGCCAGTAGCCGTACTGGGTGTCTGTGAAGTAGATGTCGCCGTTGCGGCGGGAGACGACGACGTCGTTGAGGGAGTTGAATTGGCGGCCAAAGTAGTTGTTTACGAGGACTTGAGGTTGGGTGGATGGTTAGCTTTTTGAGATTTCGGAGGGAAAAGAGTTGGAGGGAAAGTAGGGGAGGTTTGGACGAACTTGTGGTGTTGTAGGGTTCCACCGGATTCATGAGGTACAGCGACGAGGGTACGCGGTCGCCTTGACCTTCGCCGGCGAAGATGATTTGGCCTTTGTAGTTTGTTCCACCTGTTCCATGTTAGTTGGGTCATTTGATAAGGTCGGGATAGATAGGGGGATATAGACGGTGGATGCGAGCATGGTCGTCCTTACCATTGGGGTTAATGACCTGCGGGTTCGAGGGGACGGTGGTGACGGTGACCTCCTTGGTACCCAGGGACCCGTTACGGAGAGCCTCTGCGTCGGCGAGGCGGATCTTTTGGACGATGGAGGACTTGTTTAGGCCGGTTCCTGCTGCTGGGGGTCCGGCGTTTTGGACGAAGAAGACTTCTTCTGTTGGGGGGTACCTTTGGTGATTTTGTTAGCTGATTACTACTCATAAGTGAGGTTAAGGCAGGGAGTGAGTGAGGGAGTGAGTGAGGGAGTGAGTGAGGGAGTGAGTGAGGGAGTGAGTGAGGGAGTGAGTGAGGGAGTGAGTGAGCGAGCGAGTGAGTGAGTGAGGGTGCGTATGAGTGAGTGATATGACGGAGGGGATTCGGCATACCATACGACTGCCTCGTGAAAGATGGGATCCGTCTCTGAGGTCGCAATGAGAGTCAGCGACGGGTCGCTACCGATGATGTCGTAGAATTCCGGGTCGTAAATGTGGAATGGCTTCTCAGTGAGAGATTCATGCGTGACGCCCGGCCAGAGGAATTCCTAACACAAACATCATGTCAATGTCTCGATCCTCACTCATTGTATTTCATCACGCATAGCAAAGCGACTTCCGGGTGACATACCGAAGAAGCATTGAATTCTAACGGAGGCGGGACGACCTCCAAGACATTGAAGCTCTTTTGGTCGATAATCTGGGCTTTCGCGGGGAGCGCCCTCTGGGCCGCAGCAACCTGGGCATGCACTCCCGAAGAGGAGAGGAGAAGACTCGCTGCGCCGGCGAAGCTGGCGGCGATGGAGAAGGAGGAGGCCATGACGGAGGTATTCTGGAGCGACGACGACCAGGTGGTTAAGGGTGGGATGGTATTGCAGGCGAGGATTGATTTATACCCCGGCGCCAAGTCCATGGTTCTCTTCTCCGTCCTTGACTCTAGTCTTCACCGATGGTACGGATACTGGCGCGCAAGGTACGGATACCGATATGAGATGTACGTAAAGCGCAAAGCAAGGTAGTAGTATGAGGGGTAAAGGACGTGGTTAGCTTGCTTGCATCTTTGGGCCCTTGTTCATGTTGATCCCAGGAAGACTAGACTAGACTCCAAGAAAAGTCTGGGCAGTGGCCGCGGTGGACACCGAGAGGGCGGACTGTCCTGTTCGGCGGAGATTACCCGGGTTGTCCGAGGGAATTAACGGCAGTTGTCCTCCTCCTCCTCCACATTGTCCACCTTGCGATGCCTGAGTCGTACTTGAAGCATCTGTCCATATCTGACCCCCCCGGCTCAAAGACCGCAGGATGCATGCTATCCTGGGATGGCACACGGATTCCTGAGTAAGATGGCAGATGAGAAACAAAACGTCGAGGTGAAGGATGCAACCACTGCACGGTAAAGAACCCGGGGTGCGATGCGGGGTGCGGGGAAGAGACAGCAAAAGCCAGAAGCTACAAACGCAGGGCGGGAAACGGACCTGGGCTGGCCTGGCTTCGATGATCTACTGCTCTTCGATATTACTACCATGCCATCCATGATCCGGTACTTCAAAGGGCGGAGATGACGCCAGAGCTCCAGTCGTTGACGATGGATTCGAGACTTGGCAGGGGAGGGGAGGGGATATCCGTAGGCACGAAGGTCCGGGCGAGAGGCCATCCCCGAGCTCCGGCTCGGAGGCCGGTTCGGTTCCTAATAACCATTAATTGACTCACCGGCAGTCGTGATCAGTAGTCTATTTGGATCTAAGTAGGTGATTAAGGACGACTGTTTAAGCTTAAAATGGCTACAGCTCACGATGTTTCCTAGAGCGCAATCAATCGGAGACTACACTTTGAGCAGCCTGGCGGTAGCCCCAAGTTTGTTTCCTTGTCCCCCATTGAGTTTGGTTTTGGGGGGCTCTGGGGGGTGGGTGGGTGTGGCCGGAGACCCCTGTTTGCATGATGGAACGAACCCATGAGTCGGAAAAGAGTTTACGTCGTTGCGATGTGTGTCCGTCGCGCGGGGAGAAGACCGGAAAAGCGGGTAGAACGGGAGGGATACTTGTCAATCATTATTCCATGAAGCATGCAGAAAGAAGGTTGAATCCTCTGGAGGAAGTTCTTTTCACGAACCATGGGTGTGGATGGTTGGAAAGATACTTGAGTCAACTAACTCCCGATGCTCAAGAAGCAATGCCGGGTAGTTGATGAGAGGAAATAACACGGTGCCATACCACGTTAAGTTCGCTGGCTACACCCAAAACTCTTCCGGTTGCATGACATACGCCACAGACGTGAGAAAAGAAAGAGGCAAAAGGGAGTTATCGTGACGAGAGCCATGAAGCCCAATACCAAAAAGCAACGAGTGACAACTGTGAGATTCGAACTCACGCCTCTTTCGAGACCAGAATGCGCCCCGCTTACAGGGAAGCTACCATTTGTTGGGCAACTTGAGTCTGGCGCCTTAGACCGCTCGGCCAAGTTGCCGTGTGATTCGTCTGACGGTCGGCTACGCCAGAGACCTCAAGGCCCGTCTGCGGGGGGATCGTCAGCGTTTTTCCGTCGTGATGAAAGCTTGGCCGTGGTACCAGCATGATGGGAATGTCTTTTGTCAGTTCTCATCTCTCTGATCGTAGTTCATTATTCAGGATCTTGGGTTCTTGGCTGGATGTTTCTTGCCGGGGTTGGTTGAAATCTGCAGCATTTGCAAGTCTTTGGTCTGACCCATGTGTGGGTCTCTGTGACTCGGATAGCTTCTTCGGAAAGTAGCTCCCAAATATTCTAGAAGGTATTCGCAGCTCATGCCCAGACTCAGCATGCCGGTGTCAGGTACCACCGCATTTTGATTGACCGCGACTCCTCTATTCCTGTTTTCTTGAACTGGACGACTCCTGTTTCCCTAATGAAGACACAAGCCCGCAAATCAAGGCATGGTAGTGGTTCAAGCCTGAACCCCGTTTGATGCTTCTCTTCCACCGAAAGGCCGTAAATCTATTCCCAAGTCTATCATCATATCAAACAAATCAAAGACAGCCCATCTTGAGATTCATAAGAGCAAATCCTTCAGGTCTCGAATCCCCAAGTCTAGCAGTCAGGCACACTAACAGGGATATTAAACGGCACGCTCGTCGCCAAACCACTCAAACTCGTCTCCTTGAACTCATTCCGCATGCCCTTGGCCGTCAACCTCATCGCCCGAATCGCATCGTCAAGCCTGACCTTCTGCGTCCCCGTCTCACTGCTCAACGCCAAATTCGCGCTCGAAATCGCCTTGATCGCGCCCAGCGCATTCCGCTCGATACACGGCGCCTGCACCAGTCCGCCGATGGGGTCGCACGTCAGACCGAGGTTATGCTCGATGCCGATCTCGGCCGCCTGCTCGATGGCCTCGGGGCTGGCGCCCATGCACGCGGCAAAGGCTCCCGCCGCCATGGAGCACGCGACGCCCACTTCGGCCATGCACCCGCCCTCGGCGGCGGAGATCGTGGCGCCGCGCTTGTAGAGCATGCCGATGGCTGCGGCGGTGAGGAGGAAGGTTGGGATGTCGCGCTCCGGGTCGTCGGAGATGAATTCGATGGTGTATTTGAGGACGGCGGGGATGATGCCCGCTGCGCCGTTTGTGGGGGCCGTGACGATGCGGCCGCCGGCTGCGTTTGTTTCGTTGACGGCGATGGCGTAGACTGTGAGGTAGTCCATGGTGGGAAAGGTTGTGCGGCGGGAGGGAGAGGGGGTGATGGGGTGGTCTAGGGAGCCCAGGATCCGCGGCGGTTGGCGGCGGCCTACGCTGAAGCCGGGGACGTTGGATTTGTTGATTGTTGCCGGGGTGGACGCGGAGGAGAAGCCGGGGAGGGAGGCCTTCTCGCCGGTGGCCTTGTCCAAGGGGTTGGGGGAGGTGTGGCCGGCGGTGGAGTAGAGGCCTCGGGTTAGCCTCCGGTAGAGGGCGGGCGCGCGGCGATGGAGTTTGAGGGAGCCGGGGAGCTTGGTGTCGAGCGGTGCCTGGACGCTCTCGAGGATGCTCGTGTCCATGACCTGCCAGATCTTGAAGAGCTTGTGGTAGATCTCCTCGTCCGTGTACCCGTGGCTCTTTTCGTTCTCGTACACGAGCTGGGCGATGGTGAGGTTGTGCTTACGGCAGAGCGCGAGCAAGCTGGTTGCGTCGCGGAAGGGGTACCGGGGGCCAGACGGCTCGCCGGTAGAGCTCTCGGATCCTTCATGTTCATCGACGCCGTTTCCGGACGTCGAAGCGACGGGGGAGAGTACGTCTCCTTGAGCGCCCTCGAGCAGCATCGGGTCTTCCTTTGCTTCGTCCAGGGGCTTGACCTCGGCACCCGTCCGACGGTCTCCCGCGGCATCGGAGCGGCGAATCTCCTTGTAAAACATGTTTTCCGCCAAATCGGCCGGATGTCTCCCGGCAGTCTCGCCGTCCGGACTTTCTACCTGCGTCATGGACGAGGACGATGCCGGCGATGCGTCCGGGTTGATAGACAGCGCACCGTTGACGACGAACCCTCCGCCGACGCTAAACATGTCGTTGGTCGCCAAGACGTAGCCCTCCTCATCAAATACCGTAAACCGCATGCCGTTGCTGTGCATGGGCAACTTACGACCCCATTCCCAGACGAAATCCCGCTCATAGTCAAACGCGACCTCCTTGCCCTTGCCATCCGAGAGACCTTGGCCCAAGAAGAGCTTCTTGCTCGCCTTGATCTCGGTGAAGCGCTCCGGCACGTACGCCGTGTCGACGGTCTCCACATCGGCGCTCTCAAGGCCGAGAAGCAGGGCCGAGGGCGTCATGTGGCCTTCGCCCGTGAGCGCCAGACTGCCGTAGATGGAGACGCGGATCTTGTTGACCTTGTGCAGGAGGTTCGCTTCTGCTAGGTCGGCGACGAAGATGTTGCCGGCGCGCATGGGGCCTACGGTATGAGACGACGAAGGGCCGATGCCAATGGAGAACAGATCAAACGTCGAGATCACGGCGTGCTCGTGGTCCGCCTCGCTGTAGCTTCCCGCATCTTCCTCATCTTCCGCTGCAGATCCGGATGCGGATTCATTGCGGCGCTGGGCTGTAGTTCCGAATAGCCTCGTTGACTGAAGACCTGTGAATACTGTTGCTGCTGCTGGGCCTCTCCCAGTGTGTCGGATCTGGTGCCGAGTTGTCGGGTTGTTGGCCGAGAGAGTGGTGTAGTTGGGGCCGGCGAGCCGCGTTGAAGCGCGTCGAGCCGATGACGATGCCCCACGCAGCTGGGCGAGCCGCTGGATAGGACGGCTGCTCATGGCTGTTGCTGGAACGGAGCAACGCCGGTCAGTTGAATGACTATGTGAGTGCTGAACTTTCGGAACGTCGACTGGGTAGTAGGAGAAGAAGTTTTCAACTTTTGATGATGGGTAATTTGTAAACTTTGCGTTTGACAAGGCGGTCTAGGGGTTGCCCTGAGAAAGAGATAAGAGCCCAGAGCACAGATACAAAAGAATGCTGGCGGTGCTGGCGGTGCTGCCGCTCATCATCCCTGGCAGCCGGATCCCGATGGTCTGGGGTAAGACACACAAACAGATGGTCGCATTGACCAATCATTCGCCGTAGATTTGTAAACTCCACCGAGGGGCATCAGGGTAACGTAATGGTTTGGTGATGTTCTTGTCTGCTCGTGGAAAACCTTGTTGTCTCTCTCGCTGAAACTGCCGACATTGTCGTTCATCGCAAGATGCGCACAAGTGAGATGGCTGCATCGGTAGGTAGGTATTCTCAAGGAGTTGTTGGTTGAATGAGAGGAAACTTCATGCAATAAGCACCCGTATTCAGGACCAGCCATATCGTTATTGGATGAGTGCAATGTCGTAAGCCACGTTAAGCCTGTTCGGGGAGGTCCCTCACCAAAGGATCGGAGGAGGGGTGTTGGTGGTGGTGGTGGTCAACGCTCTTGATGCCACGCAACATCTCAC